GAAACTTTTCTTTATAAATTCTTTTCAATAATAGATTGCGTTCAGAACAAGGTTACGACGGCGATCACGAAGTTAATCCCATTGAAAATAATCTACAAGAAACGATTTCAAATCGCGAAGTTGCGAAAACGAACATGTGATATAACGATATAAGGTCTCAAAAGTGATTCTGATTCTACCGCTCATCAGTCAAGGCCGTCTCAACATAACGAAACAATATCGTCTTCCACAGCGCGAGTTGGCATCGGAACGTAAGAGAAAGTCCTTGCGTGTATCGCTATATCGCTATATCGTTATATCGTCTTTTTCACTCGAACGGCTTAAATCAGATTTCTGATGCATCGCTTGGAATGAAAGTCGCTGTATCGGTTTGCCGATATAGGCGTTAAATCGATATGTCGCGATATATCGATTTATAGCCCAGTCCTAGTCAACATTTTTGAAATAGTTTTTGTGTGGAAAAATTAAAACTATTGCTCTTTCATTCCCTATACAAATTAAGTATAATTTTTTGTCGCGTATGATGAAAGAAGCTTATAACTACATTTAATTGATAGGTTTGTCTGATATTTTTTTGTCGAAGCTAGTAGAATTTACAATTTTTTGTATAAAATTTTTGTTTGTAGATGAAATCAAAACCTGACTTTACCATTTCCATTTTGAAAGGCAAAAAGACTTTAAGGTTTGAATGCTCTTATTCTCATGATCTACCTGAAGAAGATGCTGAAGCATATAGTGAGTACAAGAAGTCTTACTTAATAAAACATTATTCATTTCTTTTTGTATTATAAGTTTAAATATTTTTTAAATCATATGTCACTAAATTTTCTGTTGTTTTTTTTTTGTGCAAGTTTTCTTATGAAATATCAACTTCAAATTATCTATGGTAATTAAAGTGTACATTTTGTGATATTTTTTGTGCAGTCTGGGCTTGTTGAAACTGGACATTGTTTGTATAAAGGTTAAAGATATTGGGAAAAGTACCACATATGACAGTTTTTTCATTCATTTTGAAAGAGTTAAAATTAAGAGCTTTCACGTGATTAAGGTAATAAAAGCAAATGCATGTGTTAGGATGTTGTGTAGCCCCATTCAGTCAATGGTGCCATGTTCTCTAAAGCAGCTGAGAATCCCATTATATTTTTAAGATGCCCAATCTTAAGCACCATATACATTTGAGCCTCTTTTATCAGGAATAGCTCAGTATAAAAGTATGGTTGTTGGATAAAGTTTCAATATCATAAATCTTAAGCTTTAATCATGACAAAGCCAAAAATGTTTGTATCTGGGAGTGATTAATATTTTTGGGACTGAGGTTTTTTTTCTTCTTCTAAACATAACATCTGATCAGAACATTCTTATCTGCCTTTCATATCGATAAGTTTAAGCCTTTTACTTTAAATTTGAGCTTTGTTTCGATTTTTTTATTGCTGAAATCTGATTCTTGATATTGATATCTGATTGTTTTTTGTTGGCTTTACCTTATTTTATTTCATATTATATTGAAGTTAAAGTGGTAAAACTTAAATATTCATCTGTATCTTTCTCAACTTTTAACCATTTTCAGATATCTTTATATTTATACTCCTTTGTTATTGCACCTGTAATAGTTTTTCTTTTGCGATTGCGCAATCACAGTGACCACAGCAATCAATTGTACAGATGTAGTAATAAGCCCAATCTTCAACTGATAAATGTCATTCTGCTTGTAGTTATATAGGCTGGCTTAAGAATTTTCTGCGAAGATATTCGCATGGTATGTGCTACGAATTTCACATTATTGTTTTTGTTTAGATTGTGTGAATCGAGAGCATTACTTCAGACATTTTATATTTACTCCTTGTGAGTGAATAATGTAAGCTCATGTGAATTTTATAAAGCTTATTATTAGAAAATGTTTTTAATCACTTTAACAAGTAAATGTCGTTATTCTGACTTATTGAAATTTTTAAAAAAGTTTTTCAGTTTTATTAAAATCTATGATATTTTTTTACAACTTTCTGAAACGAGAAAGATATATTATTTCCCGGTTTAAAGTACACATAATCAAATGACAGTTTTGTGTTGCACATTGAGATACGTTGGTATCTATGCATCTAAAACAAACTAAGTTAGGGTTGCAGCAATAAGTCTTTAGTTAACTAATCAGATTATTGCATTAAAATTTGCTTATAAATTTTAACAATATAAAACTTTCTATCAACAGATGATTCTTTCCAAATTGCTGAAATTGCATTATTTGAAGGAGAAAGTAATGAGTCTACATACTGCGTATCTGGAGACATTATGGATGGTGTAAGTATTTAGCTTAACTATTTACTCTTAGGTTGAGTCTGTTCCCTGGCATAGTTATTGGAGCCCTGCTCCAAACTATTCTGGCGATGCTGTTTGAAGGCGGACTAAAAAATTAATTCACTTTTCGTCTTAAGAGACCAGTGAAGATGTTCTCTTTCTGTTATAAATAAACGATATTGTGTAGAATTCAACACTTTGAAAACGAACTTTTCATAATATTACAAAATATTTTCTATTGCTGTAAGCAAAATATTTCCTTTTATAAGAATTTAGGGCATTTAAACTTGAATGATCAAACCATATTCACTTGGAAAATTCTCTATGTTGGTAAAAATCGTGAATAATGTATTATTCTTTAAGGTTTTGTAATTTAATTTTCAGGAACAAATATTTAAAATAGTGATTTTTCTGAAAACTACAAGTTTAATAAAATAAAAAAAATCCAGCTGTTAAACGTTTGACGATAATTGAACGTCAAATGCAGGGATGAGATTTTTCCGCCTTTTTCACATTTATCTCTTAAATTTCAGCCTTTTTATCAAAAATTCAGATTTTCTAAAATTCAGATAAATCTCAGATTTTCTTCACTGATTTTCAAAGAGAAGCAGAACATTTAAACTACATAGCTACCAATCCTTTCTCATTTTTACCTATTTTCTCCCCCTTTTACACGCAGCAGATAAGATTTTCCGAATTTTTTACCCGCCCTCCAGATAGATCCGATTTTCATAGTTCAAACGACGCTGCTTCTGACAAGCCTTTTAGAGGTCCCAAGCCTGGAATCTGCTAATATCTTGATTCTTATTCACACGATTTTAATATCAAACATAGCTTTTCATATTTGCGTGTTGCGATTCTTATTCACGCGATTTGAATATTGTACGTTGCGATTCTTATTTACGAGATTTAAAAATCCGATATTGTGATTCGTATTTACGCCTTTTTAAAAACCTATGTAGCGATTCGTATTCACGCAAGTTTAAAATTCAATGTCTTGATTTGCTCATGCGGTTTATAATATCAAACATTGATTTTCGTATTTATACGTGATTTTAAAATAAGGCATTGGGATTCGCATTCACGCACTCTAAAAATTCATAATTCTTATTTATGCAATCTAAAAATTCCGCATCATGATTCGTATTTACCCTATCTAAAAATTATGAATCGTGATTTGTATTTACGCGTTTAAGAAATTCTATATCCCAGTTTGTATTTTTTCATTTTCAAAATCGTATGTCTAGTTTCATATTCATGTGATTTCAAAATCCATAATTGTTATTCATATTCAAGCAATTTTGAGATCAACTATCGCGATTCTTGTTAGAAGTAAATTTTTTTTTAATTAGTTACTATAAAGGCGACTGTTTTTCTAACGACGATTATTAGTATATGTAAGTGTTACAACATCAGAGAAACTAGAAGGGAATATATTCAAAACTTACATTCTGTGCTTGCAAAGAAGAAAAAATAGGATTTGTCACAAGATGTTTGAAGATGGACTAACGACTAAATATAGCAAACATAAAAGATATAGTAAACAAAAGCAATCACTTAAAAAGGGATTTAATTTTTAAAAAATTTGGGGGGAAAAAGAGTTAATTAACTCATCATCAAAATTTTATTTATAATTGCTGTTATTTATGCTATAAAATTCAAAATTCTTATCAAATGAAAAACAATTATCTAAACAGTTGCTGATTGACATGTAATTTTTCAAACTAAAATAGCAATTTTTGTATGTTAAGGAATTACTATATATTTCTACATTACTGTTATTGATATGTTTCAGAGGGCTGTAGTTAGATTAGACTATAATGTTAACATAATGATTCGATCCATTGTTAAAGTTTTTTTTTTCCAATATAATTTAAAAAGTAATATTACTGATATATTTGCTATAAATCACATAACAGTATTTATTAAAAGAAATGAAATATTAATGTATATTCTTAGTAGTTTTGATTTGCTAAACCAGGTAGTTTCTCAAGTAGTAATTGTCTCTTATGTGAACTGAGGAAAAATATAATTTCCAGCTTTATTTTTTCAATTGGTAATTTTTTTTTCTCTAAATGTTAAGTATCAATGTAATCATTTTTATAATAATAGATTAGTACACAATTGTATGTCAACACATTATTTATTACCTTAAACTGTCTGGAATTTATTATTAAAGGGTTGCGCTTGCGTAAAATTTACTATCGTGGAAATTCAGCTTTTTTGCGTTTTGGCTAATCTCATCCCTGCAAATGATGAATTTCTCAAAAGTTGAAGGATTTCGTAGCTGTCTCCAATAGCTTCTAGTTGCAGGACACAAATTATAAAGCTGCTCTTTAAAGGCCGTGTAGTTATATAAAATGCTTTTTTATTGAATAATATGCTATTTTTTTAAAGCTTTATTCTTCAGCCAGTGCATTCTTTGCTAATGTTTTGTGCATTAAACAGTTACAATAAAACAGTTTTGATACTTTTTTTTAATTTGGAAACTTTTTCCAGCAATACATTGTTTTTGCATATAAAAATGTGTGACAAAGATTTTCGGCGAATTAGAAATTTTTTTATTTAAGCCTCCCCGTCCTTCTTCATTGCAAGATAGAACAAAATTTAAAATAGCTTTCATTTGTATTAAAGACATATAACATCCTTTCATCATACTAATCCCAGATATCTAAAAGAAAGAAGTGTTTCGTGTATACTAATGTTCGAAGTAACTAGCTTTGACCAGTTTTTTCCCTGTCAAATCTGATTTCTATTTTGTTTTATGAGTTTACTACTTTTTTAAACTAAATAAATTTCAAGCTAAATTTCTTAATTGGCTGATTTTCCTCATTACCTCTTGAATTCTGTATAATATAGTACAAAGGCCATTTAAATTTTATGAATTAAAAACTGCTGGCTCATGATGAATTGAATATGGTTTCAGGGTTCTTATTGTAGTAATTCACATTTTTTGCATAATATATTTAAATACAACATTTCTAATGCAATCTTAGTTTAGTAGTAGTTAGACCTAGTAAATGTTTATCCTTTTTTATAAAAAATGACGGCTGTATCCCATAAGAAAGAAAACAATTTGTGCTGAAACTTGTAAAATGTATTTCTCTTGTCTTGTTGTAGTATTTAGTTAGTTGATATAAGTAATGTCACATTTTCTAAGGATTTATGATGAAAATGAAGTGACATTTATTGTATTAAAGAGACATTATTTGCAATTAGATAGGTGGAAATTTTTATTTTTGAGAAAAATTATCTTTTTTTATGTAAATAATAAATTGAAATATCCTTTTTTTTTTTACGTATGGTGAATCTGGTTTAAATGAGTAGGTCTCTAAATTAATTTGAATCAGATTATAAAAAAAGAATAATAATCATTGTAAAACTTATATTCAGAAGAAGTTGCAGAGCTCGAATTACAAAATTAAAATATATGGATTACCCAAATTACAATAAAAGTGGAAGAATAATTTTAGATTGATGTTAATCAGGACATGTAATGAGAGATAAATTTCCCCACGACCTACCAAATAACAACCAAATTCAAAAAGTATTCAATCCACACAGCAAAAATTCATTAAAGATACATTTTTGACAAAGGACTGCCAAAAGTCCCGTTTCAGCTAGTGTCTGTCCTACGATATCTAATGGTGATGTTTAAATTGTCTAGCAAAAAGTTTGTTAGTAATTAAAAGCCTAATATGTTGAGGTTTAAAGTGGTTGAAAGAAAGGTTAAACATAGATTTTGATACAAAGAAGTGGGATAAAGTATGAATATAAATTTATGATATAAAGGGAATTTGAAAGCTAAAAAATATGTAATGCCTTTAATGGTATGACAACCAAGATTATTAATCTATCAGTCATGGAACTGTCAGTTGTGCAAACAACAATATGGCCAGATGCATTCTTTATCTATGTCCTTGGTGTTTTCATTTTACATTTATTTTGTGTTTAATTCTACTTTTCTTTAACCCTTTAGTTGTAAGGTTTATAAGGCAAATTTGTGCAAGTTTTTTTTTTTTTTTTATCAAGTATTACTTTTCTATGTCAGTTTATTGTGTAGGGAAGCTCGTTGCAAATTTGTAACAAGATTATTATTTTTATTTTAGTATCTTTATGATTTATTGATGAATTACCTAGAAGAAAGGGGCATCTCCAATGAATTTGCTGACCAATTGATCGCTTTCTTCACACAATATGAACATCAATTGTACGTTAACTTTCTGCAGGGAATGAAGACGTTCGTAGAAAAGTAAACAGATGTTAAGACATTTCCCTACAAGTCATCATGTTAATCATTACAACCATTTAGATCTATTTGTGTTTCTAGTTGTTTCAAATAGATTTGTATACAGTTCTTTGTAATAAACTTCTAATATCACACTTCAATAGTTGCCTTGTTTTTATGGTTAGTCTTTCTAGCTCTATGTATGTTATCACATATTTCTTAACAAAAGCATCAGTTTTTTTTTGTTATTATAATAAAAGTTTATTAGTTATAAACTGCTTGCATTAGTCAGGGATGATGTGATGAATTTCTGCTTTGCAATTCATCCACACCTCCCACTCCAAAATAATTTTTCTTAATTATTTCCAAGATTTTTGAAAAATTTATCTGTGTTGGTAAAAAATTTATCTGTGTTGGTCATATTTATTCTGATTATGCTTATTGGCACTGGTTTATCAGAGTTAATCTCTGCAGTTATTTCACAACTGTTCCTATTCTGTGACTATTGCTGCTAAAATTAAGACAGGGTGGCCATCGCTACTATTTTTTTTAAAAAAATGCAAAAATATCGAAATATAAAGAAACACATAGCGATTTCTAGATAGAAAAAAAATTCTGAAAACTAACAAGAATGAACAGTTGTAAATCAAGTGGTTCAAAAATTCAAAATTCCTTTGTAAATTATCAAATTAAAAAGAATTGGAGTTGAAAAGAGAAAAACCATGTGCTTATGGCTGGAAAAGATGTGGACCATCATAATGGCTTGAGACAGTAATTATTTTAATTTGAATTTCAAATGCTGTAATATATTCCAAAATTTAAAAATAAAACTGTTGAGGGGAGAACAATTACTGCTGAAAAGCAACTAGGTTTTAGATGGAGCTGTCAGCATAGAATATACATTGTGGAAGAAGTCTAGTTTTACACTATTGATAAACAGTAGTATACCATTTAGGTATTTCCTTAAGAATACATTTATATTGTCCGCGTTAATTATATCTGTTAACATATTTTGACATAGAAAGAATAAAATGGCGGGAAGCAGCGTACCCAATCCTGCATGTAAAATTGTCCAAGGTTTCACAGGTGATGTACCTTTTGACTGTCGCTTTGATTCTTATGCACTGCTAAATCTGATTATGTTGCTCACCCTGTAAGGTGTTTTTCTGGTATAACATACCACACCAAGCTGTTCCCGGGGTTAGTTACATATTAGAGGAGCTGAACTTCTCCTTTCTGTATTCTTTGCTGGGAGGATTCCTGCGTCTCGTAATTAGTTAAAAAAGTAAGCCTGTTATTTTGTAGTTGTTCTTGTTAGATAAATGAGAACTAGGATGGGTTTGATTTTTAGTTGATCAATCGTAAAAAAAGTTAAAATCTTTTTCTTTTTTTAGTTTTGTGAAATCAGTATTGGCAACATGAAATTTTCTCATCAAGGAGCAAAAGCCAGACTAATGCACAGTTTTCAATGAATCAAATTATTATTAAACCCCTGCATAAGAGTAATTAAAACAAAAGGAGAGTTGATATCGAACAATTTATTATGTAGGAGACTGATCTTCATGGGCACATCTCTTCTCAATTGCAATTGGTTGCGGGCACAACTCATCGCAAGGACATTTGGTCATGAACATAATTCCTTTCTGTTTCTATGAAATTCATCTAAGTCCAACAATTATAGCTATGCAAAGGGTATTTCTTCGGAAAAATTACCACCAAAAGAAGAAATATATTTTTTTGAGAGGAAGAATTTAAATGCTAGTGAGGCATTGTTTCCGATATATTTTTATGCTGAATCTAATGAGTACGTTAATTGCTATTTTTGCATTAAAAGTACTTCACTTGATGTGTACAGCACGCAAAAAGTAAACTGACCACCCTGAATAACTTGATCCAATGTTCATTCTTAGTGGTTGTTAGGGAGTAACCTCAAATATGCTAATTAGTGCAGGCTACATTTTAAGTTATGACTTCAGACACAAAAACTTACTTTGTTTGAAAAAAAAAATACCGTTTTTTTTACCAATTCAGATTTCTGACCCCCAAAATATGGTCCCAATAGTTTGACCAGGAGAGTGATCCGAAGTTTGAACCCCTTAATATTAATTATTTTTTACATATTTCACCATATCTCAAAAGCTTTTGAAGCGAATTGAAACATTTTTGTAAATGTTTTTAATAGTTTCAAGGGTAAATAAAATTTAGCTTGGGTTATTGGTTTTAAAAAAAAACGGGTTGATAACAAATATAGATATAATATAGATAACAAATTGGTTTTAAAAACCAATGGTAAAAGTTTGGGTACTTATAAAGCCATTCTAGCTTTGTCTTTGAAAATTTGTTCTTTTTAAGTCTTTGTCATTATTAATGAAGATGAATAGATCTAATCATTTTTTTTCTTTTAAAAATGTTAAATAATTCAATTATTTTTAAATATATTTAATAATTTCAAGGGAAAGCTGCTATTGGTTTAGAAGGGGGAAAAAACGAAAGTATACTGCAATGGGTACTTGTGATAATGCCATTCTAGCTTTTACTTTGTCTTTCCAAATTTGTTCATTTAAAGAGTCTTGTTCATAATTAATAAAGATTACGAAAATATCATAATTCTTTTTAAATGATTTATGAAGTGAAAATGATTACATAATTCATTGGTTTGTTAATATGTTTAGTAATTTTAAAGGTAAATAAAAGGCTGCTTATTGGTTTAAATAAATACCATTGAAAGTATACTGCTAGAGGTACTCATAATGCCATTCTAGCTTCCTCTTACTCTCTGAAAATTTGTTCATTTTAAGAGTCTTGGCCATTATTAATAAAGATTACGAATAGATCAAACTGTAGTTTTTCTTTATGAATGATTAATAAAGGGAAAATGATTCTTAAAATCTTATTAGTCATCTGTTTCCAAATTTAGTTATCACTTCTTGTCCTAATGAGCCAGCAGGTCATTTCATCTTTCAGACGCTTGAGGTAAATTAAAACATCTTAAAATATTTAATATTTCTGTTGTATCTAAAAATTTTAAGCTAAATTCTATAAAAATGTGCATTTTCCCATAATTTAAATTTTTTTTTTGTCCTATTAGGTTTATAATTTATTATGTTAATTAGCAATCTACTACTTTTACAAGAAAGCAATTTAAAAATCTTGCATTCATTTGAATAAGCATCAGCGTATCAGATATCATATTTTGAATTATTAATGCTTTAAGTTTAAAATTGTCTCATTTCGAGAGGATTATGAAATCTTTAAACTTTGTAGATTAAATTTGTAATAATAATATCAAAATAAAAGACAAATGCTTGAAGCGCACTCATGAAAACTAAATTCACATTTGTAAACATATTTCAGAAAATATAAGAGAAATGTTAGCATTTGCGATATTTTTTTTATTCAAAATATAATTATGTAAAACCAAAAATAAAATAAATTCCGATTGTATTTTACCACGGAATTCAATGCTGAAGTCACGTAAAAAAAAATCTCGCATAATTTCTTTTATGTATTAAGGTTTTTATTATAAATATTTCGTGGGATGAATACGAATGATTTGTTCAACAAAGATAAATGTGAATTATGAAATCATGTTAATGCCACTACCTTTTAAATATAAATAAAAATACCGCCTGTCCTGAAAGGATGACTAGGCAACATCGAGTCAGATGAAAAATCAGAAAATAAAACTTTCTATCCGCAATAAATGCTTACTAAAACAATTTTTATTTATAATTTTTTTTTTTTAGAATGCAATGTCATAGACAGTTAAGGATGTAAGGGAATGATAATATAGTGTTTATCAAGTAATTCCTCATTATAGTTATTCTATCACCTATTCCTTAAAAATTAATGACCTCATAATTGCAGTTCCGAATTCAAATCATTATCAAACAATATATTTTGCTTTATTCATTTTATAAGATAAAAGCGAATCATAAAGTAATTATGTGACTACTTTTGAGTTTATTTTTTTTATTATTTAAGCCCTAGTCTGATGGAGGAGCAATAAGTTTAATTTCCGTCCTTAAAAGCTTATTTCTTTAAAAAAAATTTTTTTTAAAAACATGGCATAGTTTGCGCGAAATAGGTCGAATAGTTCCTGAGAAAGGAAATTTTAAAGAAGTTCTACATTTAAAATTAAATTTGTCCAGTATTATTCGACCTATTTTCCTAAATTTTAGAGTAATTACATTTTTTCATGCCATGTAAAATTACATTCTTTAAAATTAAGTAGAAATTTGTATAACCTAACAATTCAAAATTTTTTTTCGGCTAATATTAATGGAAATAATAAATATTTACTAAAATTTAATTTTATGCATGGAATTATTTTTGGATAAACAAATTAATTGTGTGCAACAATTTTTTAAATTTTTCCATAAATTTTTTTTGGTTGGACTTTGTCCTGACCATTTTGTTTTTTTCATTTAGCAAGTTGACCAACTGAGGAAAATATGTTAACAACGGGCGAATATCTCTTTGCCTTTGTTGCACAAAGCTGCATTAAAAAAAAGTAAAAGTTTTTATTTAAAGTAAAAGTATTTTTTTTTAAAATAAACTTTTATTTCTAATGAAACTTGTCAAACAATTCCTCTTACATATTGATGCAGTGACTAATTTTATACTCTTAATTTGATGCTCTTAACAACGATAATCAAGCATCATTAACTTAAAAGACATTTTACAGTTCTGAGTTTAAAATAGTTTTAGACAATTCGTTAATCTCCTTAAAAGTAAATCTAGAAAAAAAACGCATCGCATCTATCAAACCATTGCATGACTGACTAAATTCGGCTTTGTGTTACGACACTTTTATCTGAATCAAAATTTAAAAGATGTCAAGCACTTTTCCATCAGCAAAATTCTTTTTGTCACTCAAACACAACTTCAAACAGAATTAGTTTTTTAGAATTAGCGTTTTGAAGAAGAAAAAAATAGTATCTCATAGTAAATATAATGCAAAATTTCGAAATCGTTATTTCCTTCTTCAAATCGTTTATGCCGTCTACTACTAAAAGCTCCACTTTTACAGTAGCGGGCGGTGAGTTGTCATTTAGCAAACTAACAATAGTTAAGAGCTATTTGCGCAACACCAACAAATGATTGGCTGAATTATTTAATTCTTCTCTCGTCAGAAAAGGATAGTTGCAGACAATTTGAA